AATAAACCCAAACTGAGGTGCTCTCCTTTCTTAAACTGTTCCTTCTTTGAAAGACTGATGTTACTTATTGAATACTCAGTGGTGTGATGTTGAAGAAGTGTGAGCTCAACCCCGGACTCCAAGATGGTACCACAACGCTTTGTAAATGTACTTTGTAGGCTCAAACTGGGAGAGGGTTTAATTTACTCAACTTTATTCTTGCTTGATCTTGCTTTTGCTGATTTCCTTTCTGTATTTTTTGACTGTTATTGGAGTCCATTGTAGTTCTGTGATAAAACAGGACTAGATGTCTAGACGTACACATAGACTGCAAGAATGTGCAAGTACTAATTGCGTGCTCAAATTGCTTTGCTTTTCTGTGGGTGGCAGGCTTGATACCTGTGCGCTGTCCACATCTCCCCCACAAGCTTCACTTCAGTTTCCCCATTTGAGACATCCTTGTATTGACCTGTAAAATCTGATCTTTATTCATCAACAGGCACTTGAATACTGTCTGATGTGATGGGTACTGTTTGAGGTTTGCATGGCAATAATAGTAGAGATTTGTGGTAAGATTAAGCTATAATTGTTGCGCAGATCTATGAATTCCACCAGAGCTTTACTCTAAAATAATTTGCTTAATTAAAAAATGGAGACAAAACTGAAGAGAAAGGAGTGAGTTGGGTGTTGTTTCAGCTTTAGCATTTCCTTTCATGTGCTGTTGATGTTTGCAGGCTTTAATATCTAATTTAGGTACTGAAATCCGTAACAAGGAACCTGGGAAAAGCTATTCACTTGCTTTTATAAAGAAAATAATTTCTTGTGCCCTTCTCCCCCGTTATAGCCTGAGGCAATGCTATAGGAGATTTCTGAAGGGACTGCTCCCAAGAGAGCCCAAATCCTGACTTCGTTATAGTAGTGTTAAATGAAGTCATGGTGACAAAATGACTATAAATAGCTTACCCTCCATAATACAGCGTTCCATATATTCTCTTACGACACGGTATTTCTTTACAGCAGAATGACAAAGCCAGCTTTCGTGTTTCAGAGCCACCGTGGGCACGAAGCGGGGAGCCCGTGCTGCAGCAGGGAGCGGCTTGGGTCTGGGGTTCCCCTTAACCGCCGTCAGCTGTGCTGGGGCTTGCCCAGGTGTGCGCCATGGCCCTGTGGGGAGAGGCCGGTTCCGGCCGGTTCCAGCCGGTTCCAGCGCAGACCCGCCTCAGCGCACAGCTGAGCCCGTTAGCAGCGCCTCAGGGAGAGCAGGGCTGAGAAGCAGCAAGTGGCCATGCAGGCAGTGAGGATGAGGGGAAAAAGAGTGAGAAACAGCGCCAGGACACGCTGGCCAGAGCAGGAGGAGGAGCTGAGCAGGTATCTGACTGCGGTCTGAGGGAAGCAGCACGCTGAGCAGGTTTGTCCTGAAGTACTGCGGCCTGGGGACTAAACCCAGCTGGAGCAGGGGAAAGGTGTGAGGAGGAAGGAGAAGCAGAGAAGCTGCTATGGACTGCCAGCCCCAGTTCCTCTGCTGGGAGGGAGGAAGGGAATGAATCTTGGGGACAAGGGGCTTTAAGGGGGTTTCGTCTTTGTTTCTCCCCACTGAACTCTATTTTAATTGGCAATAAAACACATTTCTACCAACTGGATGTTTAGCTGGGGTGGTCACTGGTAAGTGATCTCCTGTTGTTATCACATCCCATAGATACTTTTATTTTATTCCTCCCTGCTTGGTCTGTTGAAGAGGGGGAGTGCGCCTGGCAAAAGGTCAAAGTCAACCCACCACAAACAACCCCAGAACCACCTCCTGACCTGTTCTCCCCAGAGTTAATATGGAGTCAGTAAAAGGGAAGAAAACCCCTACTGCCAGGACTCTGCCTTTTGATGTGCAGCTGTAAATGTGAAGATTATCCAGGTGTTGATAAGTGTAACTTGGTAGTAGTAACAGCAAATGGGTTTGTATCTGGGGATAGTAAAATAAGGCAACAAGATGTGCTCGGGGACTGATGTGGTGTTTGTGAGAAGAGAGCCCCAGTTCATCAGGCCTCTCCCGATTCTTTATCCCTGACACACCTCATTACCACCAAAGTTTTTTTGTAAATGCTTTTATATTCTGGATGTGAAGCATTTGCCAAATACGTTCGTAAATGCACAGAGCAGATCGTTCTGGATGGATTGACCAAGTGCTCATGGCTTGGTAGCTTGTGACAAAGGCAGGTGAAAACTGTGAGGTTATAGGTTGTAGGAAAATTGACTGTAAAAGAGAATGGACACTTGCATACCAGATTGACTGGTGTCTTCTTACTCAGCTGCTTTCAAGATGATGAAGTTACTACTAGTTGTTTGTTTATGGTGCTATTCTGACTGCAGTCATTAAAATCTGTGCATTCCTTCTCCTCCCAGAAACATAGTTTATTATCCCTAGAGTCTTGTGGTGTGGGGAGAGCCGTTATAAACTGCTTTTTGACTGCTTCAAACTCTTTTTAGCCTGGAATTAAGCTACATTTAACTCTGTTCTAGCTCCCCTTTCACACAAGTATTTTCCTTCACTTTAATGGATTTTGCATCTATGGTTCACTTCATAACTGTTTGCCTGAGATCACAGCTACAGCTTCCCTGCTTTCCATTTGCTGATACCTCTTTCTTCCTTGCTTATAGAGGACCTTGGTTTGTGTGAAAAGGACACCATATGTTTAGCTCTCTGAATACCGATACTTGTTAGTTTTGTTTAAAGCAGATGAAATGTTTTTTGAAGGATAAGTCTGAGAACTAGAACTGAAAAGGGCATATTGGAACACAAGAGAAAGATTGGAGGTTCGAGAGGGGGTTGAGTTTGGGGGGTTTTCATTTTTAATCACTGCATAGGACCTAATGTGACCAGCTTTTACAAAATTGTGTTCCAAAATCCCATTTCTATTTAATGTAAGTACTTGTGATACTTATGTAAACATATGTAAAAAAACATAGTGTAATTTAGAAGCAGTGTGTTCTCGACTTGAGTGCACTGGTAGCCTTGAACCATCGGTACAAGAGTGAGAGCGTAGCTCTTTCAGCAGTTCTGTTTGGAAAGTCTGAATATGATGATTTTTGTGCTGATTCATTTCATTGCCAACTGTTTTACTAATAGACCCAATAGACCTTTTTAATAGACCAGACTTGCTTATTTGATAGTCACAAACTCCATTGTCTTCACCTTGTGTTAGGAGTTGGAACTTATTCTTGTTCACATTAATAGTGTATAACAGTGGGTATTTCCTGTCTTAAGCTTATATAGGATTTACTTTGGACCACATCTAGTGGTAAGATCTAACCACAAATCTAGTGATTTTGTACTTATAGCTATGCACAATTATCTTCCTCCAGTAAGCATTTTCAGCCCTGGACATGTATGTCTTTCTGTTAGATCTGGTGTCTGTATTTCATTTTTCAGGCAGGGCCAGAAACAATGTTGGTGCATAGTTGAAAGCTTGTGCATCTTTTCATCTCAAAATTGTTTGATAAGAATGTCAGATGATTCCATCTGTGCTTAACCTGCTTCAGCAAAACAGATGTATAATCAGGTTCAGAGAAGTTCACAAATAGCTGATCAAACTGGATTGCACTGAAATCTGTTTTTCCTAAGTCACACAAATCTAGTGGTCTCTCAGGAAAACAAACTCAAATAGATGGAATTTCATCTCATCTTACCTATTTTTGGTAAAACATTTTTTTCTAATAATTTGTTACAGTAGAAAACACTTCTGTTTTTCTTTGTGATGTTATTCTGTCAGATCTAGTTTATAAGCACAGGTATCTTTATTTAGAGGCCTTTTATAAAGCACTCATTTACAAGCAGAAACATGACCAGGACAGTGCTAACTTAGAAAGTCTCACTTTCAGGCCACCCAGTCAGCATTTTCTCAAGTGAGATTCAGGCATTTTAAGCTTTGTGTACAAGTGGGAATGGTGCTTATTTGTTTAAAAACCAGCATTCTCCTGTGAAAGGAGATTTTATTTTTCAACTTGGGATTCTCATTCATTGCACATTGGCAATTTTATGCAGTGTGAGACATGGCCTTGACGCACATTTTTTTATCTAGCAGATACTGGAATAGTTTGGACATGCTTCCTTACCTTAGGGTGCGTTGGTGTTAGCCTCAGACTTTCCTTTTTGTGGGTTCCCATAGATCTATTTCTTGCAGGGGCAAAAAGTATTTACACTTCTGGCTGGACTTGGAGAGTTTGGTTTTGCTTTCCCTTCCTTTCCCCTTTTTTTTCACTCTCATATTTGAAGAATGCTAAAGGATAGTAGTTCTTCTAGGAAGGATTGTGGTGGTGTTTTATACTTCATCTATTTTTCCTGATGGGCGTGGTGTCAGTTTTGTTTTGTTTTGTTTTTTGTACTCTCTATGGTAATATTAATCTTTTAAAGTAGTTTTGCAGGTGGATTTTATCACTAATTGCTTTAGTCCATATTAAAGTGCAGATAACAGATATTCATATCCCCTCCCAACATAGATACCTGTGTCAGTAACTGGGATATAAAAAATACTAGGAGTGGTTTTCTTCTGTGGTGAATCGTTGCTACTGTTCAGAGCCATGATGTTAGCTACTGACAGAAAAAGAACTTTTTCACCTCTCCATTACTTGAAATCTCAAATACTGGATTTATTATATGATTGAAATAAGTGATTCCTGATGTACATAATAAATCCTCTTATCAACAGCATTGGATTCTGTCAGAAAATGGACCCCTTAGCAGACTGAGCCTGAATTTTTAGAAATACAAAGTTACTTAGGTTAAGTAGCATCAGTTAACACTGCTTTTTGATAGAACTATTTTAAAGCTTGTACAAAGTCGATTAATGTTCCTGTAGGGTAATAAATGCAAGTTTGGTAACTTATTAATCTCTCTCTCTTTATCTCTCTTTGTCTTTCTCACACTTTTTCCAAACTTATTAATCTCTCCCTCCCTCTTTCTCTTCCCTCCTCCCCCATGCCCCTTTATTTCTTTCTCACTCTCTTCCCCTCCCAAAAATATGCCTTTACAGAAACATAAGGTAGATCTTTTCTACAAACTGCGGCATGTGATGAATGAGCTCATTGACCTACGTAGACAGCTGCTGTCAGGTCACTTGACACAGGATCAGGTGCGAGAGGTCAAGAGACACCTCACAGTGAGGCTGGACTGGGGCAATGAGTAAGTACAGGTACCAGCTGGGTACTGTTTGTTCTGATTGTTTTGAAATAGCTTTTATAAAACATACAAGCAAAACAACCAACAGCTTTTACCTTCCACTAGTATTTGTACACAAGAAGAACTTTTGAGTATCTGGAAATCAAATACAACATTTACAGTGAGATTATTGCTTAGGTCTTCTACTATGACTATAAAAGGAGCTGTTTGATTATTAGTAGACCTTTTCCAAGTCTCTCTGCACTTTTAAAAGTATTAGGTCACTTTACATATTTTATATGAATGTAGTGAATATTAGGCCTGGGAGGATGTTTGTATAAATACTAAATCCACATTTTTTCAGTTTAAGAAGTGGTGTCATGGTTGGCGCAATAAGAGGATCTCACTGTCAGCAGTGACATTGGAGCTGGAGGTGTGATGTTTAGACTTTTAGATAAAGTAATTTCTCAGAGGTTTAGGCTCTCTTTGTTTGGTCAGTTCCATGATGAATTTGCTGAGAGGTTTTCTCAGAGCCAAAGGTGGCTGCAATTCAGATAAAAGCTGAAATGGAAATAGATAGCTATTAGACAAAAACTAGCCCTTCACCAGAGCTGGTTTTGTTCTGACATAATGTTATCAGACAGTAAGTTTTGTATAAAATGCACATGGCCTTTTCAAAGGAAATCTTGCCCTCCTCAGACGTTGCTTTTCAACTAGGAGGAGGATTAGTGCTAATTAATATAAGGGGGCAGGGGGGGATTCTGGATCTTGACAGCTAAGGAAGAAAGTAAAGTGTTTTTCACCAATGTATCTTTGTTATGACCCTGTTCTTTAGTCACCTACTTCAGAACTCCCTCTGAGAGACATATTTGACTAAGTTCAAGATCTGACTAGCTCCCATGCTACATTTCATTTCTCTCTTGTTGAAAGCAAGCTTTGAAGGACATAGACTAATAGATTGCATCAAGTCATTGTTCTGCAGTGCCAAGTTAGAGATATTTTCCGTTGTCATTCCCAGTGGAGTAAAAGGGGACCAAGGGACCATTTTTGAACATTATGCCGAGATGTTTTTATTCAAAGAATGTATAGATAAAATCAGCATCAGGAAGCTGCAAAAATGTTAGAAGAAGATGAGGAGAGTAGACATGAGTGCAGCAGTGAAGAAAATAGATTGTTCATGTAAAATCGTTACATACAAAGTATATTAAAACTATAAAGGTAAATCTAATACATGACAATTATGGAGAAGCATCAGTAAAAGCAGTAAATATAAATATGTGATTAAATTAATCTGCTGAGGATGCTTATTTAGGAAAAATATAGTTGTGTTTCTTACTACATAAAAACAGGTACTCACTTCCCTAGAGAAAAAGGTGTATACTATCAGAGATACATGCTTAAACAGAAGAGGGTGTTAATAAAGGAACTGCATAAAAAGGCATGTGACTGCAAAGGTATTTAATGAAACTGTACACCCTGCAGTCTGGGATTTCGGAAGGTCTTTCTGCAAAACCACTCTTTTCTGTGGGATTTCTGGGACTTCCTTGTGCCTCCCTTCTCCTGAGTTTATCATAAAACTCATGACCACCTGGCTTAATCTTTTAAAAAAATCCTAATGATGTTCATATACATATTCAGATAGTACTGCCCTTTCTCAAATAATGTCATAAAAGAATGTTGATTGCTGATATACTTGACACTTGAAAATAAAAGGAATGAAAAATGTTGTTACTAGCGTTCCTTACTGTTAACCGAAAACCTTAAATCCATGCAGTTTGTACTAGTTTGAATAGTTACAGACTTGCTCAATCTGAGACATTCCATGACCGCGTAACTTTCAGGAAACAGGTGATGTTACGCATTCAGTATGTAGCATGTATGCTTATCTAGTGTAAAGCTACTTTTATCCTGACCTTGATCATTAATGCATTGTATTATTTGGGACGGATGTGAAATTCACGCTTCCTGCCACCAGCGGTTAGTTTTTTTTCCATTTGTTAAGCTGGTATCATTTTCCCTTAAATACACTGGCAGTGGTTCTGGTAGTCATCCCTGGTGTTCTCATGGGAGTTGGTGGAGATCAAGGGACAGATGCACTCTTTGGATTAGTAAGTAAAGAACTTTTTGTAAAAGAAATCAGACTATTTTCAGAAATACTACAGGGAATTTTTCTTATTTCTGTATACTTAGTCTGAGAGGTTTTGCTCTGTAGTCTGGTCTATTAAAAGTGTAGAAATAGATCTTATTTTACAGTTACTGCTGCTAGCCTTTTGTATTGTTACTAGTAGCCCTCATAACGCAACACTGATGTCCACTTACTCTAGCAGTTTATTTTATTTATTTTATAAGCAATTTTCTGTTGCTTATACATTTTCTCCCCATGACAAAAATATGATCCTGGATGCATCCTTTCTGTGATGCTTTGTTACTTTTGCTGTTACCCACAGTTAGCTTGGGTTTGTGTGCATATAGTGAGTGGTACTGCTGTACTTCCCAGTTGTTCAAAAGAGCAGAATTTACTGTGTTCAGGTAAGCATCTTAGTGGGTTTAGACTTTCAGTTTTAAAAATCCTTCTTTGTCTTTTTGTACAGGTGAAATCTCAGATGCTGTTTTTTTTCCTAGAATTCTTGCCATGTTTTTTATACAGAATGTTACAAATACTTGTGTTTTTAAAAATGTTTCACTTGGATACAGTTTATTAGACTATTGATCTGTTGAAGTCTGAAATGCTATTGGGATTGTCCAATGGTCTGTAAATAACAAGGAGAGAGTTGTAGAGCAGGAAACAAAGAAAACATGAAGCTGAATTCTGCAATTTATCATAATATTTTAAATCATGTTATGGAGTTAGATCTGCAGTGCTTCATCTCATTCTAAATCATATTGTAAGTAAAATAGAAACTTGATTTTGAATTATTTGTTTTTGTGGGGTTTTGTTTAATGGAATAGTTAAGTTTTTCAACTTTACTAGTGATTAGAATGGGAAACCAGAATTAACCTTTAGTAAAAGAACTGTTTCATTCTACAGTCTTTGGCATCAAAAACAGATGAAAGAATTTCACAGAGCTTCTGTTTGAAATGTGAATTATCTGCTTCTGATCCAGTGCAAAAAATTATTACAGCAGTATGTGCCTATCTTACTTAACAAAAAGGCAGATGAGAGTTCTTCAAACTAATATAACGTAAAAATCAGAGGTCATTTTAAATCATTTTCAGGATTGATTCTTTCAGGTTAATATAAAACCTGTCAGGAGATTAACAGAAAGCATCCAGGTTTCTGAGCACAATGAATTTCCTTTTTATACTGAGGGAAGGCGCTTCTTCACTGTAAATGTGGGGATAGATGCTCTGTTCAGGCTCAGAAGCAGAGTAGGGCGTAGGGAGCCACCAACAGTTTGAGATTTTTGAGAGATAAAAGCCATAAACAAGATGAGTTTGTAGGCTTCCGTTACTTTTTAGTCAAAGGTTTTTCTTTTTCACATAAAATGATACTGAAGTCATTGCATTAAAAGAAATCTTCCAAATAGTTTCCATAAATCCTGCACAGAAAGATCCACAGAGAGACAAAAGTTACAAATGAACATTGAAAAGGAAAAGTTGCGTGTATGTGTGTGTGATGTTAGAAATAAATCTTTCACACTGGCATACAAATAAAATGAAACACTGTTTTAAAGTCACGGACTTTCTCTTCCATTGAAATTGAAGTCGCAAAGCCATCGACAGTTGCAATGTTAGTACCTACTGGCTACTGACATGTATTACACTGTTGAGGGAATACTGTGATCTAGTGAAGTAAGCATAGTTTTTAAAATTGTCCTAAATTTCAGTGCTCACATCCTGAGATGATTATTTTTGGACTTTGAGTGACGTACCCTAGTGTCATTTTTTTTTTTTTAATTGACGTAAAAGGAATAATAATCACCTCCTGGCAGTGTTGCAACTATTAGCTCAAAGTTCATAAAATGCAGTTGGAGCAATGTATTAAATGTACATATGAGATGGTAACAGCTGGAAATCAGTTTGAGAGTTAAAGAATGTCTTATTACAGTAGTTATTGTTGCAGGTAATATAAAGGAGTGAACGATTTAAACAACCATAGTGAAATGCCCTTAAGATTGCAGGGATAGTTGCCATTCCTCTCTAAATATGTATTTTTTTCTCTCTCCTGAATATACTGGTAGTAATGGTTGAATAAGGATTAAAACTGTAAGAAACTTTTGGATATCAGTTTTTGAGGGAAGCCTTAATTACCTCTCTGTGGTCCTGTACTTCCATGCTCAGATGTATTTGCCGCCATTTCCTTTAATCAGTTCCTCACTAAGATTGCTTACCTTCATCTCATCAGCTTCATGTTAAGAAATAATTTCCTGTGTGGCATTACATCAGTGCTTTACTAATTTCTTTACAGATTACAGCCCCTGCAGTTTTTGTATAACTTAAAATAACTTCATTCTGTCAGATAAGTTGCGCTTGCACAGAAAACTTTCACAAACATGTTTCTAATCAGTTTCATTTTCCATGGTATTTCCTTCAAAGTCTTCTTTCGAAGTCTGCACATAATTCATGGGAATCACTGTCAGGATCATTTCCTTTCCTTTCACCACCTTTAGAAATGTGTTTGAGAAATATGAATAATATTAAATGAGGCTTTGATATAGTGAGAGAAGGAATACAAGGAAAATGGGTGGCTGTAACATTAAAGCTGACAAGAGTCAAGGTAAAAGTGCATGTTTATGGAGCAAAGGGGATGAGATCTTGCACACTCTAGAGGTGTGATGAGTTCTCCCAATCTGTTCTTTAAGAGTGGATGTGAATCTTAAAGGCTTTTTTTTTTTTTTTTTTTTTTTAGGTTTTTAGGAATTCTAAATGGTGTAGCATTTGTATTATAAGGAAATGGAAAGATTAGAAATGAGGATTGTTCTTTGAACTTACTGTTTAAACCAAGTTGACTTTATCTAGAAGCCCAGTTAATCTGAAGTAGTCTGATGGCCATCCCTTTCAGTATTGAAAGTGCTATTTCTGTTTATCAGCCTGTTTCCATATTAGTTGTGAGACACCTAGAGACAGTGTGTGGTGGACTTTTAATTTCTTTTTTCTCCAAAGAAAGGAAAATTCTCAAGACTTCTATGTAGAAGAGGAGGAATATCTAAAATTTCAGCTGGAGTTATCCCAGGCATATGCTATCAAGAGCTAATTGAGAGGCTTTGGGGCAATTCTGTAGGTATGCTTGGGAAATACTGTTGAAAGGCAGTTCAATGTTAAAGCAGGACAGAAAGCACATAAATTTGCTTGTAAAATAAAGTATTGTGGAGAGAGGAGCTGTCACATAAACAAGCCAGCACATTATCTAATTTTTATGCATGCTGTGTTGTGGAGAAATACTGCTTGGCAGCTGGTGCTCTTATATTCCCATAGTTTGATACTGGAGAGTGAAAGTGGGCCACTGACTAGTGTTGCCATGTCAAGCGTTACGTTGTCAGTCCTTCACAGGGAACAAATAGAATATACAAATGAAGAGCATAAACCCAGACTTCCACGTGCACAATAATTGGCAGCATGTTAGTACTGAAGCACAAGGCACCTGTATTTGCTGGGAGCAAGTATTGTGCAGGATTAACATAGTATTAGAGAATGAGAATCTTCTGGGCTGAAAATCCATGGTGTTAAGGGATTTAACTAAAAATAGGATCTCGGATAAGTTTCACAGAGATGCCACTGCAGTTGTGCAGAACATTATTAAGCAGAAGATAATACCTTTGTCATGAATTGAGTAATGAGTCCAACCACTGTTTGACCTCAGTTCTCTAAAGAGTTGAAATTAGGAGAATAGAACAGTATCAGACCATTGCTTAGCTTTGGTAGCTTTTTCTGTGAAGCTTTAATAGTGCTTTGTAACTGCATTGGAACTGTAATGCACTTAAAAGAGAGCTTGATAACATTATTAGGAAATAATTTGTTAATATCTGTATGTTGAGGAGAAATTCCTTTATGAATATACTTCAGGGATGGGTGTGTTTACCTGGGAGTGACAGGGAATTTTGGAGGTGGTTTAGATTTCAGATTCAGGAAAACTTCTGTGAATATGATGAGCATTAACTTTTTTAAAACAAACTTTCATGATGGCTCTTTGCATGTTACTATTTTAGCTCTTACCATCCTTTTTCAATTATATTTCTTTTATATTTCTGTTTATAGATTTCTGTTATAAGTAGGCTCAAGCAGCAGCTGCAGGTTAAGGATTACTTAGTGCATTCTTATTTTAATCTTTTCATTTGGTGAACAGATACAGTAATTTTCCTCTTTGCAGCTGCAGTTTTCAGGTACTGGTTTTGGGCCACTTGTGTCTGTCAGGTTTAATCAAAACGAAGCATAGAAAAGGTGTATAACCATCACTTTCACAATTTAGCCTTAGAGTTTAGAAACCAGTATTTGGCATGAAAACTACATCGAAGAGGGAAAATTATTCCTTTTTCCATTGAAAATAATAATTGATTTTGGCAAAGAACTAAGATTGTGGAAATTGCAGTTTGTCAGTACACTATATAAATTGCAGTTATAGTACTGCCTAACAGTTGTTTGCCAGCAAGTGGGCTAGGGCTGAGCTTAATTCTTGAGATGTCATGGTTTAGGGATATAATTAAAGAAGGAAAACCTGATTAAACAAAGTTTCAGCAAGAATTTGGGAGGAATATAATGAAACTTATGGGTAAACTCAGTGGTCAGTGGAGGTTCTTCACACAAACCACGTGTCAAGGGCTTCATACAAACCATGTGTCCTTCCATGCTGCTGTCTTAAGTTCATTGCTCAGAAAGACTCCCTGTGTAGCCTGGAGCCTTCTGTTTGTTGCACCGTACAATTACTCTGCAGTACCTGAGAGGTTGTTTCCAATGAATTTTTTCATTTCATTTCAGGAGCAAGTTTGTGCAGGATGTTTCCCTCTCTGATTACAAAATTAAATTGACTTTGTGATCAGTATCAGAGTCCATGAGGGCACCTCTTCTGATTATTTTTTTTTCTTTAAGACTATAAAGTATTTCAATATAAAACATCTGTAAATGAAGTATCGCAGTTACAGAAGATGAAAGCAGGAAAATGGTTCATTCAGCTGTTTTTTTTCTTCCAATTTTACTCTGGATGTATGTGTTTAGAATAGCTTTCTGTTCTAATGCTCAGATCTACTTATGACTCAGAACCTGATGATGTACAAGGCAAAGTTGGGTTTTGACACCTTTTAGATTGTCTTGTTCTACACTATACAGTTATTACTTAATATTGTTAATAGTTGTTAATTTATTTCTCTGGATGCAAAATACCTTATGCTGCCTACTGTTCACATGCAGCTGTGACCTGAACTGCCTTCTTTACTGCAGAATCTTTTAACTAATCACCCTCTTTACACTGGTATGGTTTTTTTTTGGTAAAATATTTTGGCTCAAATGTATAAGCTGTTAGTTCAGAGTAATTAAAAGGGGTTTTTTTTTGCTATGTGTGTGTTACAAATACAGATTAAAATTCTTGTAGATGTTGCAGTTATTGTGTGTTATAACCCCCCCCCCCCCCAACTGTTTATACAATAATAAAGTTGGGGATTTAGTTGCATGAACACCAGGAATTCCCAAGCAGCTTCCCAAGGTGCAGTATCTATTTGCACGTTTGAACAGGGTTGCTAATGGAACTTCTTCATTGTGTGTTGAAGGAACCTACTCAAGTCATGCAGCTGAAACCAGAGTATTTGCCATTTCCATGTATGAAGTTAACTTGTTCTGGATCCTGCGCCAATGTATTGGCCAAAAGTTTCACCTTGCACTAATTGCCACAGCTCCACTGAAGTCAGTGAACAAAAAGTAACAAGTTCCTAATGTATTTCTGATATTTGCATTTGATTTTATTTAGAAGGATGAGCTGTTCAGCAATCAATAGTTGCAAAAAGATTTAAATAGTTTCATATTCATATCACTGCCCTTGAGTAAGCACATGTTGTACATGATAGTGACCACTGTAATGCATTATAATTACCATTGTTCATTCTCTTTTGCAGACATTTGGGCCTAGATTTAGTTCCTCGGAAGGACTTTGAGGTTGTGGATTCGGATCAGATCAGTGTTTCAGATCTTTATAAAATGGTAAGAAATCTGTGGGAATTGCCTTTGGGTTTTCACTTTGTGAGGGAAAGGAGGGGGAAAGTGTATTATTTACTCTTTTTCTTGATTAGATCAGTGTCGTAAGGTGAATGTGTTTTTCATTTGCACCCCAGTTTGCAGAAGAGTCAGTGTCTCTATACCCAGAGTTTAGTAAGAATGAGCTAACTTTCTTTCAGCAATGGTCTGTATATATATATATATATATTAATTTACAAAGTAACATGGGATGAAAGCTGGAAAAGGTAATTTTGAATGTTGTTTCTTCCTACAGTTTTCTTGGGTTTAAAAATCTGTTGTTTCAGAAGCTGCAAAGGATGTTCTAAAAAACCAGATCTATCATATACAGCTAGTGGGAATCCTTTTAAACTTTTGCAGAGCAAAGCTAAGGTTGTTTTAGAAATGTGGATTGTGACACTAATGACCTGTAAAGCCAGTAATGCATTTTACAGTTTAATTGCATTTGGATTCTTCTTTATTAGTAGGACTGTGTAATACAGTTAACTTTGTTATGGGTAATGATATAAGTGTAAATGGAAAAGCAGCATGGAATGTTAGCGAAAACTGAATGAAAACCTTTCCTGAGGGAAAAAACCCACAACAGCCAAGCAAACCAACAGTTACTTTAATACAATTTCTTAGCTTAATGTCTTTGAAAGAAAATAGTGGGTTTTCTACATGAATATTGTTACAGTGTCGCTCTCTTCTAATAAGCTTTTAATTTCCTATTTTAAAATGGTTTTGGCTTTCAGCTACCTAAGATTAGAGAGTGACAGGTACACGCCTAGGTGGAAGGAGTTTGATATGCAAGATGTACTTCCTCTTAAAACAAAGGCATGTTTTCTAAACATGCTGTTGCTGGTTTGGATTCTTTGCACCATGTAACAATGGATTTCATAGAAAGGAATGAAAGTTGTTACATAAGAAATATTGAAGTTCATCATTCTATAGTATTGCTAATGTTTGTTCCTGATTTGCCATAGTCCGAGGTGATTTTGGTGTGATTCCAGCAGAGTTTTCCTTCAAATACAGTATAGAAATAACTCAGTACAAAATTCAATTAGTGATGACTCAGAGAATGCAAGGCAAGCTGCTAATAGGATTACTTTATTACTGTTTCATTCTGCAGGGTTCTTTTACTCTGAATACCTAGAGTACAGCAGATAGCTAATGAATTGTCAGAATAGTCTGATTATGTCACCCATCTTAGTCCTGAAGCAAATGCACACAGCAGTTTGCTGCTCAGCACTGTGCTGGTATCAGGACATGAGCATTAGTCAGTTCATGCTTGTCTCTTGCTTTAGTTTGTAGATGCAAGAAGACACAGCTGTCTTATCGTATCTAGTTTATAGCTAGAAGGCAATTTCAGGAATGAAAATAGCTGAAAACCTGTTATCTTTTTAACTTAAATTGATCAGGAATTGACATAGGGGAATACGAGTGGGTGTTTTGTTGATCTGAGGGTTTTGGTGTGGGTTCTGTTATGTCACAAAAAGTTGGGGAGAGAATCCTCCTTCCTGGCAAAAATACTGAGCAGTTTCTCAAATGAGCAACAAGGTTGTAAAATAATCTTGCAGGAGTAGTTGGGAGAGCCCAATTAGTCTCTCTTTTTTGCAGGATTATAGAATGTTAAATGTAACTTAGAAAACAGTCTCATATTAGCAAAACAATGGCTGAGGTGACACACAAGGCTTTCCTACCTGTGACAGTCAGTTCAGGCATTTTATAGAGTCATTAGACTCAGAATTACTTTCCTTGGTAAATCTTAAATATATTTCCAATTTTGAGCATCATTTTCAGCTCTCAGTTTTATCACTTGAGTGTGTTTGTGACTCCTGTATGAGTACTGTATTCATCTCTGTCAGAACTGTTGTGCTTTGAGGCCTCGTAGATCCCATTTCTCCAGGTTATTCATGGTGAAGCTAAAACCTATTGGCTTCAGGTTGCACATTTGTCAGAAATCATTGCTTTACTCCTGAAGGAAACCAGATTGCCCTATCCCTGGCACAGTGTTTGTGATTTAAGCTAATATGATGGAACATGTTTTTATAATTTACATGACTTTTGAAGTTGTGGGAAAATACGTTCTCAGAATCCTGCCACAGAGCTCAGTTGCCCCTAGACTGAAGCTGGCATTTAGCAGCACAAGTCCAGCCGAATGTCAGAAAAACTCGGATGGAGCTTTTTACTGAAGGGGGTCACAAGACCCAAATGTTCGAGACATTAGCAGAAAACAGAAATGGTGAAACCTGGTGATCAAATATGTTCGGCTTCTCTCTAAATTTACTGATTTGTGTGTGTGTCTTCAGGTGTGTGTAAGACATGACTATTGGCTGTGTTACTGCTGGCTGTTAGCCATTACTTTCATCTGAAAAACACCACCAGGAGTTCCTAATAAGTAGCCAAATTAATGCTGCCATCACCTCATAACTGCTGGGAGACTGGGAGAGGACGGGTTTGTGTATATTTGGTTCTAACCCCTAGTAAGAAGACATCTTTTGAGAAAATGGAGATAGAAGGTGGTTTGCTTGAGACTGACTTGGTAATGACAGGACTCGTTCACTTTCCAAGTATCATTAGGAAGGGAAGGAGGAACAACAACAATAAAAGCTAATATTGGTAGATAAGTTATTATGAGAAGCAAGTTTCATGGGAAGGAAGGAAGTAGGTAGGGTTGATAGTTCTTTCAGTAAATCCAAAACAAAACCACAATATACTTGCTAACAGGCCAAGCTGGATAAATTAAGAATTCTTCATTGCCTTCAGTCACTAGAGTGAAGGGAAGGGAAATTAAGATAACCAAGAGCAAGGACAGAAGAAGTGTAGAAAAGTATAATGGAATAGCATGAATGAGTTAATAGAGCAGTTAGAAAGGCAATGCACAAATTAATATAGAGCAAGGAAATGTTGGCAGTTGTATCAAGAAACAGTTTTTGTTTTTTTGAACAAACAGGTAGTAACTGGGAAACTAAAAAGAAGTTTTTATACTGGGGGAATCTTGCATGTGGTGCAAGAAAACAGCATGGTGCTTAAGATGCTCTTTGCCTCCCCAAGCTCTAGTAAGGGGGTAAAGTCACTGACAGTACCTGTGGAAAAGGGAAGGGAGTCACACCTGAACAGTGTGTGTGGAAGTTCATGCAGTAGTTACAGGTTCCAGGGTATTTAGAACTACGAACTTATTTCATTCGGAATGTCTAGAGAAGCCGTATCAGACATGTTAGTGGTAATCACTGGAAAGATGGGTAAGGTTCCAGAATGCTGGCACAGGGCAAGGGTACTTTACAACTTTAAAAAATGTGATGGAGAAAGAAGAGCCAGTGATCATTCTCTACCTGTAAAAAATGCAGGAACAGAAAAAAACACAATTATTTGCAAGAAGGGAATGAGTAATAGTGACTGTGAACTTGTTCAGAATAAGCAGTTTAAATTTGCAAGTTCCAATTCACTTCCAGAACATAAAGGTGTCTTGTGGATACAGATAAAGCAGCCTTTCTCATAGATAGGTATCAATCACATTTGCTAATCTGCAGTCAACTGGGACCTCCCTAGCTAGTCAGGACTGCTGATAAATGATAGATAGTGACTTGTGAGCACTTTTGCCAGCTCCCACGCTGATATCTTCTTGATGTAGTCTCATTAGGAAGATTATCTCTCCTTTTGTAGTAAAAAGGCATTTTTTGGTTCTGTGTGAAGGACAGTGACAAAGCTTGTTGAAAAAAGTATTGCCAAGTATGTTTTGTGCGCTCTTTGGCTCTTATCTCTCTTGAAGCTATGGGGTTATCAACAGATTGTGCTAGTCCTGTTACAGAGTGTATGTGTTTGGTCAGAGTAAGATGTTGGGTATGTAATAAAAGGCAAATGAAGAGAATGGCTAGTAACATGGTAGTGTTAATGTCAATATTTCAGTTTAAAATGCTAATGTTGAGATGAATGTGTGTGGAACAGGCATAGCAGAATCACTAATGATATGGTTGTTAAAGCTCTCTGAAACCTTTTCAATTTAGATTAGTATTTAAATCTCCCCTCAGAGATTAAATAGGTTCAGTGAGTCTTGCAGTCCATTTTCTGATTATAACATCTTCTAGCATGAAAGACTTTAAATACAGCATCATCCTCTGAATTCCGTTTTGGAGATGCAGCTTTTTATTTCAATGCTTCTTTACAGGTTTTGGTCACCTGAAATTGTAGAAAAGTCTTCAACCATTTATCAGAATTTAATTTTCTGATCAGAACAATAAGTTTAAGCAAAGTCTAAAATCCGTATCTGTGTTTTGAACAAACGCATCTTTTCATAGACAATGTACTGGTAGGTGAGGATTAGTACTGAGGTATTTCCCCATTTAGCAAGAGAATACATAAATTGTACAGTATAGGGTGATGGACTTTTCAGAAAGAAACGCTATTACAATGTTGGAAATTCTGTCTAGCTTATGACAGCCATTTACTTTAAAAGCTAATTTACTACCTGTAAATTCAAGTAGTTAGGCTAAGAAGTGGCTTAACTGAGAAAAGTCTTTAGGAAAGCTAGTGGTCTTGTGAGTGATAATACACTGTCAAAAAAGGCTGTGAAAATCTGGTCATAACCTTGAACAGTCACATTTTAAAATGACTATTCTAATGCTGCACAGATATAATGTAAGTATTTCTTAACTTTCAGAAAGGTTTAAGTGTTACTGTTTTGTATCTCCACAGCATTTGTCAAGTAGACACAGTGTCCAGCAGAGCACATCACAGGTAAACATCATCTACATACAGATTTTTGTTGTCTTAAAGTTATTGGTACTGTATGTAAATGTATGATGGAGATCATTGGGTAAGTCCCTACCCATAGAACACTTCCTCAGGAGATCCCCAAGTAATGATCTGACTAAGGTCCTTCTTCAGTTTTTGTATAGGTCTCTCTTCCTTAGCTCTAACTGTTGTTCTTAAAAGATAACTTCTGTAGTGATACCAGAAACCTCTCTCTGTGTATGTAAGTTGTCTTTCCACCTGCTAACATATGGCTTACTAGGCTTGTGTTTCACATATCCTTTCTGTAGTAACATAATCCATTCCTGGTCATGGAATCTGGATCTAATCTTTTCAAGGTACCTGTTCTTTCACAGGTACCCGTCTTGAAAGGATGAGGGTTTACTTGGATTTAATTTAAAATCCAGTACGAAATTCAATTGAAGGTTTATTTTTAAAGCTAGTACAAATCTACTTTTCAAGTCTGAAAACGTCAACATTTTCTGTTAGTGCATACCTGTCTGTGCACTCAGAGAAGACAAGCCTAGTGAGTTTAGGATATCATTAGGATTAGCATAGAAAAGATATAAAGGGCTATAAATATTGAAGAATAAACTTATTTCTAATTATGCTTCTTTCTCTTATCTCTACACCAATTTTCACTGTTTATAAAAAGGTCTCAATATACAGAGTCAAAATATAAACCTTTCTGCTATCCTTCCAGTACCTAACAGGGCCAACAAGAAAGCTGGAGATGGACTTTTTGCAAGGGCGTGTAGGGACAGGACAAAGGGGAATGACTTTAACCTGACAGAGGAGAGATTTAGATTAGACATTGGGAAGAAATTCTTAACTGAGGGTGCTGAAGTGCTGGCACAGGGTGCCCAGAGAAGCTGTGGCTGCCCCATCCCTGGCAGTGTTCAAGGTCAGGGTAGACAGGGCTTAAAAGCAACCTGGTCTAGTGGAAGGTGTTCCTGCCTGTGGCAGGGTGTTGGAATACAGATGATCTTTAAGGTGCTTTCCAACCCAAGCTGTTCTGTGATTCTCTTTGACTTTATTGATCACTCATGTTATCAACCAATGTTATTTTTTTTTTATGTACCTGCAGGACATACTAGCCTATGGAGCCTGGCTCTAAGTCATAGAATTGTAGAAGTGTTTAGTTTGGGAAGACCTTCAAGATCATTGAGTTCAACCATTACCCAAGCACTCCTAAGTCCACCACTAAACCATGTCTCTTAAGTGCCACATCTGCGTGTCTCTTAACTATGTCCAGAGACGATGAGTCAACCATGTCCCTGGGCAGCCTGTTCCAATGTTTAGCAACCCTTTTAGTGAAGGAATTTTTCCTAATACCCAGTCTAAATCTAATGCAACTTGAGGCCATTTCGTCTTCTATCACTGGTGCACCCTCACCAGTGCAAGTACGGGGGGGGGAAATTACGTCCCTAGTCTAGCTGGCCCCATAAGTGACCTCGATAAATGAATTATAGTTGCTGCAAAGAGATAAGGTAACAAATGTTATTCTTAAAAATGCTTTGAAGTCCATCTGTTTTAAATGGAAATCATCAAGAGCCACCGTACCACCACTTTATAATAGTTTGTTTTCAGTACCAGAATCAAGACAATATTTGAGAAATAGATGTAATTGGTTTACTTCATAAAAATGGATTTCAAATGCATAAATCATTTATCTCTTATTTAGTTGGTTATCATGGTTTCTCAAGCTATTCAAATTAAAAGTGGGGAAAAACAGGATGAAAACTTAATCTAACATGCATCTCTGAGGCAGGATATATTGAGATTAAGGTTTTATGTGATGGAGAAAGTATTGCAGAATCTCAAAGTTATCATGTTGGTCACGTGTCCTTTATTAGTGAAGAGTTAAAAGTTACTGTTATTGTTTTTAATCAGGTGGATACGATTCGTCAGCGTCATGGAGAAGCTTGTCGTATGCCAGTGCCTCATCACTTCTTCCTCAGTCTAAAGAGCTTCACCTACAATACAATTGGAGAAGACACAGATGTCTTTTTTTCTCTGTACGATGTTCGAGAGGGCAAGCAGATCAGGTAGGACTGTATCAAGTAACTAAAAAGCTTAGTAGGTCAAAGATTATGAACAAGGCAAATACACTGGAGAGAAACATATGAGCTGTTCTTGTGGCACAAGTGGATGGACAAAGCTGATAAATCATAAATTGACAGCCCTGCATTGCATGCTTGAGAACATCACTAATACTGGTCATTGCATATGACGTTTTGTACTTGCATATAAGCAAAGAATGGAAGCCACAGAACAGTTGAACTGTGTTCAGGTTTCTGACTTTGCCTTCACATATTACTGAAGGTTTTAGTGTTTAGTAGCTGCCTTTTTAGGGCCCTGGTGTAATACCAGTAATGACAGGACCATGGTGTATGACTGTTTCGAAAAGAGGGCTGCTATTTGGGTGCTGTATTGAGGCTCTTTAATGCTCAATCCACTCCTTGCCTTGCAGGCATGTTACAGTGTAGCTTGTTTTCATTACTCTTGCTATCAGTATAAAGTGAACTATTCATATTCATCCCTGTGTCTACACTGGACAACTGTGCTGCTCAGGACATTGGGGTAATTGTTACTAATGTTAGCAAATAAGACATGTGCTGTGTTTTTCATTAACAAGCATGTGTTTTGAAAACATCAGAATATGTAAAGAGTACTGCAGCATGTGCACTGTGTCTCAGGAATTAAGTAGGTGTATCTTAGGCTAAAGTGTAGCTTGATCTAAACTACACTGTTTGTGAGTTTTTTTGGGTTTTGATTAAGGCATGTCACGAGAGTTGGCACAGATCGTGTTTGCCACTAGTCTGGTCAAAACTGTCCTAGTTTTCAGCAAATTAGATTTAGATTTGTTCTAAACAGAGGAAAGAGACCCAAAGTGTTCAGAGTAGAGTGGTAACAGTTTTGTAGCTCTTCAGAATACATCCCGCTAAAAAAGTGGTCTATATTAAAGCTCTAATGATTTGACTGCAGTTTATAAATACATGTCTGCCACCATTTAGTTAGGCAACTTAAGGATCATTTTGCAGAAAATGGCAAGAATGCCTAAGCTGCTACTACTACATCGTGTTTATTTCACCTCCACGAGGTGAGAAATGCTTGTTTTGATGTAGTTAGGGAGGACATGCCTCTAATTCCCCTATTGAGAGAATTAACAAAAAATAGCTGTTAAGAGGGAAAGGTGAAAATGGAAAAACAAAACAAAAAATCTGCACAATTAATTAGTTCATACCTCAAAGCAGTAAAATATCAAATTATTTAGATGAAGAAAGCTGCAGGGAAAGGGAAGGGAGAAGCTGCTCCCCGGACTATGAAAGGTCTCAGAAATTGCCTCAAAAGGAGAAGAATTATTTTGGGCTGCAGTTTGCATAGTATGTAAACATTGAGTGGAAAAGACTCAAGAAGGGTGTTTGCCAATGATTAAAAAAAAGAAAATAATAGTTATAATGAGAAAAAGCAAGAGAATGGTTCAGGCACATTTAAATATCTATAATAACGTTTTGATGTGCAAACAGTTGTTATTACTTAGCTCTTCATCAGTGATCTGACGCAGTGAGAACAGCATAATTTTACATTTCCTTATGTCCTGAAGAGTGGTGGAGAAGAAATGTGTAATGAAGCTGAGCTCTGGTTTAGTGGAGCAACTTAAAGCCAGAAAACAAACACACTGCTGCAAATTTAGCCTGATTTTTTCGTATCTACTTTAAAAGATTAAGTTTCTTTCCTCTCAGGAGACAGTACATTAAGGTAAAAAACAAGCAGAGCTTCTGCACGCTGCATTCTAAATGCAAAAGACAAATTGAGTTTTCTGAAATGGTTTCAAGGTTGATAAATTCCTTGCCCAGACAGTTCACATTGGAGGTTGACTGTCTTTCAGTGTTACTGCTTTGGACATAGAGTAGATTAAAAACCTATGGAACCTGCTGGTTGCAATAGTTATTTCCCAGTTAGGTCAAGTGAATAACTGGTGAAAGCTCCAGTGTCTTTGAAGAGCTGAAGTAATAGCATGTACCAGTTATGGATTAGCAATCTGAAGCAGGAGCTGAAATGCAGTTTGAGATATATTCCCAGGTTCTGAATACAAATGTGGAACTGTACAGTGTTCAATGGTTTGTGCTTTCTAGAAATGAGAAGCAGCCAAAAGATGACAGTGAGGAAATATGGATAGCAAGAATAAGAATGTTGGTATTGGAGGGGTAAAACATAGAGGTAAAAAACGGGGAAAAGTGACTTAATTTTTACTCTTGACAGAATTACGAAAAGTAAATAGAACTAGATGGATGAATGTCTGCGTCAAAACTTTGCTTCAGTCCACAACAGAAGCAACCTGGCAATCAGAGTATGAGTTAATGGCTCATATGAAAAGATATAGCAATCTTTTATTTATATGTTTTAAAGTACTTGGCATTTTTTTCATGCAAAAATTGTCATATATTCTTACCTACGGAAAGCATTAGTGTAGCAACAAAATCTTTCCTCCTAAACTTGAATACTTCCGTTTCTTCGCCGTGTGAAAGTTAGCAGAAAATGATGAGAACATTAACCTAGTTCTGATTACAGTCAAATGGGGAGTACATCCCCAAATGTGAGAAGTACCTTGGGATGAATGATCATGAAATGATAAGAGTTGATAGTAACTAGAAAAGGAAAGAAAGATAATGCTAATGTACAGATGGTGAACTCCAGTAAGGCAGATGTCAATAAACATCACAAAAAGATAGGTAAACTGATACAGAGAAAAGGAATCTGAGAGTTGTCGCTTTCTTAATGATACTATTGAAGAGTGCAAAAGCAGATTGTTTCAATATGAAGGAAATTGTATATATGGAATCATCAGAAAGTCTGTATCACGTAGTCTTTGGTGAAATGGAGTCTGGAAGGAAATATAAAAAAGGAGAAACTAATGAAATTGCACAAGCAGGGATGCGAAGAGACAGAAAATTGTATGAAAAAAAAATGCAATTACCAAAGGACATCAAGGAGAAAAAAAGAATAATTCTATAATGCTTTACCAGCAAATATATATTTTTTACAAAATCATGAAATAACTGAAGAGATTAAAGGGGACATTAAGCTATCAGCAGATGTTACCAAGATAACTGGAGTATTTAATAGCTGTTTTGCCTCAATCTCCCTAAGGTAAGCTGGAGTCAGATGACAAATGCAAGAGGTTCTGGAACAAATAAACTATTAGCAGTGAGAAGCTAACCAGATGATAAGTACAAGTCAACATAGATTTGTCAAGCACAAGTCACATCAGAGCCAGCTAATTTGGTTCTGCTATATGGGAATGCGACATATGCCTCAGCATTAAACTTGCTAGGGTAAAGCAAGGAGACTCAGATGGAACTGTTATAAAAGGGCTGGAAAACTGGTGGAAAACCTTATCCAGAGTGCTGGATGGATGCAATGAATAAGGGTGTTTTTTTTTGTTTTGGTTTTTGTAATATTATTTTGATGGGAGGAAAAAACCTCTATTCAGTAAAGCAATGAGGTTTGGCTACTTTTAAATAGCTCCTTTTTACTAATAAATGCATAAAAACACACATAATTTCAGAAATGACGCATTCCAAAAGCATGAGATCAGTTTTTTTCTGAAAACAAGCTTGAAGAATCCACCAAGTATGAAAATGGATAAATAAATCTCAGATTTTTTTGTTTATAAAGCTTATGTTTAAACATGTAAAGGCTTTTTTTATTCTGCCTGCGTCTTAAACCAGAATAGATGTTTCTATCACTGTTTTACCAGTTACCCTATTTTCCTCAACTGGGATTGAAGAGTTGCTTGTCATCTATAAATAACCTTAATTATGGAGAGTGAATAGAACAAAAAAAGAAATTCTAATGTGATTGAATTTGAAAAACTTGGGCCTAATCAGTAATTATGCGTGGAAAATAGTGTCATGCATATTTCTGGTTGTAACTCCTCCATCTGCCTACTAACTGTGTCTTTCCCATGCCCATTATAATACAGGCCTCCTTATGACAGGAGATTGTGGAAGATGTGCTAAGCATCCATGGGAGTGTTGATGGCTTTGACAGAGGAAGTCCATGTGTACATTTTGCATACAGAATACACTCGAGTCCTTTTTGTTGCGAGACCACACTTTCTCTCCAGTGTCTGTAGGAGGCATCATTTGCTGATGCATCCTCTTTTCAATACATGGCACTATGAGAAGCCTTATGATCTTTCAGCTGGTCTGTTTAGTCTGAATGTACCGCTACCTGGGGTGTTCTGCTTTTTTGCTTGTGCGTTTCTCTTTGCTGTCAATTTATCGTGGTATTGCATTCTATGGAGTACAAGATTGGTCCAGTCTGACACACAGGCAGTCGAGAAGTTACATGAGATTAGCTACTTGGAGAAACAAAAAATTGCCTGTGCAAGTAAAGACTGGACTCTTAAGAGTGAAAGTTCAGCTGGAGTTGAATGTAGAGAGGGAGAGAAAGTTACTCACACGTGAACACCAGCTGCTGTAAGTACATTGCCAGCAGATGGGCGACAAAGGAAAACACGGCTCAAGTTCGGAGCAGGGCAGTATATGATGCAGCATGAGGAAAAGGTAACTAAGAACAGTGGCTGGTTTAAGTAGTGAATATTTTGAGCTTAAACAGTTGTAGTAGTAGCAACAGGTGGCTGTACATTTTTGTAGATGTAAACATACAGTGGAGATTGGTGACTAAGGACATTTACAATGACCTAGTAAAGAAACTCTTCAGATTTTATGATGGGTTTTGTAAAATGTTATCAAACAAAGACATTGAAAGTACATTCTTTGGTTTGCATTGTGCATAAGCAAAAGTTTAGTAGCTCCTGCTTTGCTGCTCTTGTGCCATCTGTTATAATCAGCTCTTCACTTACAAGATCACATACTGTTCAGAGAGCACTGTAGCACACATTATATCTTCTCCTACCTGCTCATATGATTGTCTTTATTATTAACATTTATTATTCCATTCTGTCCAACTCAAAAATCTATGTAACTATTTTTGCAATGTCTTCATGGTACCAGCTTTATTTTGGTTTTGGAAACAA